CGCATACACGAGCATAAGCTGGATGTGCGACGTGGCGACGAAGCATCGCAAGTTGCTGCACAAACCTTTGAAACGGGCAATGAGTTCAACTTCAGGACCGTCAAAATACTTACCCACACCGGAAACAAGACGAACCAATGATTTCTTAAAACCTGGTCCACGAATGGGAACTAAATTAATCGATTTGGTGCCGGCGGACAGAGCCCTGTGCAGTCACCTCTAGATGCGCGGCACTAATAATTGAGCTGTTTGTACCCCCTATGACTTTCGTCTTTTTTAGTGCTGCTGTTATTTCTGACGATAAGCTCCTGTACGAGGTCGAAAACTCAGAACAATAAACAGCTTGACCAGCCTCCTACTTTACTCAGGCAAACACCTGTAATGGGAACTTGCATATTTATTGTGATACCTCCACGCGCAGACAGTTAGGTTAGACACCTTCCAAGTGGTAGCTGTAGCAAGATGCGCATTTTGGGGCAGAAGCCATACAGGCTGGATATATTCTCATAAATGCAAGTGCAAAGGCCCATAAATAATGCGAAAAAAAACGGCACAGATGTCAGTAGCAGTATGAAGGCATAGGAAGAAAAAGGTCATGGAAATGCATGCGGATGACCGGTAGGGTCGAGGCTACATGGTATTGTCATTCCGGAGGTCCTCTCGTTCACTAGAAGTCATGGGGTAACGGTGGTGACGATGAGCACTGTTTTTGGAGCATTCCGTCTAGGAAAAAGGGGAAAAGCACCAGATTCAGCTCGTCAATGTTATATTCTTGTTTTATTTACTACTAACTCCGTGTTAGTAACCATAATTATCCGAAACGTACTTTTTCCTACTTAGTCATTAATTGATTCCCCTTGTCCCCGTTCGCTTAAAAAAGCATCAGCCACGCGTCGATATCATTTGCAAGACTCCTCGTCTGATCACCTCAAATGGACGTCCACCTTTTTTAAAGTTATAGACAGTCTTGTTAACTACCATGGTTTGTTAATTGTACTGTTTATTACTATAGAGTTATTCCGACTGCCATTGAACTCGGATGCATCTATTCTGGCGAGCCAACTAGCACTGATTCTAGGAAATCTAATTAATATTAAAATCAGTGCTAAACCATAAGGACATATACCATCCATCCTCTACTGTATTTGATGTCAACCTCAAGTCTAAGTATTTCCAAAGCTCCGGGACAGCATATCAGTCCCCGAAAATGTGATATAATAACCAAAAGGTACATCAATTCTAATTGCATATTGAGGAACTCAAACTAAGTCTCCACAGTAATTTCTGGGTAAGCCAACCTCCTCAACAGTCTAATAAATACCGTCTTAGTCCTTAGGGAACGTCGTCTGTAAGGCAATCAGACCAGCTCGATGGTCATCACTGCAGCATCACGGACAGGGTTCAGCAATAAGTACCCCATGTTTTACAGGTGCTCTCGGGCTAAATTTCGCGGGAGTAGGTTTATGGAGTCGGCCGGGGAATAGGTACCTTCTGGAATATGGCGCAAGACCGTTTGTACTACGGGGGAGGGCCCGTATGTCCATGTACAACCGCATTAGACGTACATAGGGGCACACTCGCGGGCTCGAGTCCCAGCGGTTGTAACAGTAACAGTTTGATGATGGCTAACAAGCCAAAACTGGTCATGCCAGTGTCCCATGTCTTTGGCGGTAATGTTCCTTTACCTATGACACTAGCCACTGCGCGGCCGCCGACGAGGCTCGA